ACCATGAACTTCTGGCTCTGCCCTACTCACCCACTGTAGTTCTTACAACAGAGTCACCAAGGATCTCCATTGCTAACTGGACACAGTTATTCATTGACCTTGCTATAGGGTCTAAAAGTGACTGTTCTTTTATGAACATTCTTCCTGTTTATTATAGTAATATATGTAATATATGTTCATTGTGAAATTTTGGAAAATAACATCTGTAATCTCCATCCAGAAAATGTTTTTCTCATTGAAATGGTTCTGTGGCAACTGCCTTATTCCTTTCCTCCTATTTTTCTTGACCCTACCTGTGTCAGTCTGCCTACTAGATATCTGTTTTACAGGCAACACTTTTTTAAAACCCAACTGTCTCTCTTCCCTGCTCCAAATCTGCTTAGCCACCTTTTTTCACCATCTCACTGTAAGGTACCACTGTTCATCCAGTTGATGAAGCCATAAGATGAGGACCCATCCTTGACACCTGTCCCTCAACCTCCATTTATAATCAGCAGCTAAAGTTCCTGTCTGTTGTTGCTTATTAATTAATTTACTTGTTGTCTCTCTACTCCCAGCACCTTAGCTAGACTGATTATTCTTCACCTACCTCAGTTTCCCAAAAGCATCATCTACTTTTGAACCTCTTAGGACTTGTGTATCTTCCTTTAGGGCTTAGCTTAGAAGGTCAGGGCTTCTCTGACCTATTTCTACACCCTCAAGACTGAGCTTGGTGCTTGTGGTTCCCTTATGTCCCTTCATACACCCCTTCCTTCTGTATGTTGTCCCCCTGCTTAGATTCTCTCAGCACCCATACTATCTTTATAAACACACATCATATTCCATTGTAATTGTTTATTGACTTCTCTGTCTCTGTAAGGGCAGTGACTATGTCTTATTCATAATTGCACTGGTAATATCCAGCTCAGAGTGTTTAGTAAATTTCTGATGATAAATGGATAGTAGGAAATGGGTGGTGGTTAGTGTGAAAAAAAAAAAAATTAGAAGCTGTTATGTTAGTTTTAGGATTCTGGCTGCTTTAAAATTTGCATCTTAAGTGATGTGATTGGCCTTCTGTCTATCTGGTCCAGTAGTAATGGTTCTGTGCATGAGCTTCCAAAGTGTGAAGTATGGTAGGGCAAAGCAGGAATGAAGCTGATAGCTTGGCTGGGTGGGCTCTACCTTGCATTCCATTGATAAAGAGGTTAGGCTTTCCTATAGGTACCTGTAGTGGAGCAGAGATCAGATGGCTGCTGAAAAGTAGGGCAGTTGTGCCAGAGATAAAGAGAAGAGCATTTTAGAGACTTGGTGATTGGATATGGGGGTCAGGGAGGAGGAATCTTTAAGTGACTCAACTTTCTGGCTTGGTTGGCTAGGTACTTGCTGCTTTCATTAACTAGTTGTTTTGATTTTTTAGATTCTTTTTGACATCCAGATATATCTACTAGGCAGGCAATAGGATATGAAGTTTGGGAGAGCATGCCACTGGAGAGTCATCAGTATGTGGTTGTTAGAACTATAAGACAGCACTTAGATGTATAGCCTAAGATTAATAACGGTCTAGAAAAACAAGGAACTCTGAGGAACATGGACTTAAAAGGCTGGGGAAGAAGAGAAAAGAGCTGGGAAAAAGCATTGTCAAAGAAACTGAGGAGTTCGAGTTCTAGGGGATATTTAGCAATAAAAGACCATTGGCCTGTTTTGTGCTTTAAATGGAATAACAAGAAAATGGTTCTGTCTTTACCCAGCTGTTCAAATAGATGCTTCAGTGTGGACTGTCTGCAAGGCTTTTTTTGGGCAGGTCCACTTCACCCCTCTTGGTGTCCCAGCACCCCAGCCCAAATCTGGGACCCCACTGATACTCGTACATCGGATCTAACACATGACCTTTAATCCCTTCCAAGTTAAATCTAAAGGTTGAAAACAGATCTCAGAAATTCTGGATCTATTCCCAGAAATTCTGATTCATTGTACCCAGGGATCTTAATTTTTTACAAGGATATTTCTGAATGTCTATGGAACACTCGTGTAGGTAGGTGCTATAGCCCAGCATTTTATTTAATTGCAAGAGAGCAAGACTTTCTTATGGTGAACTTCAAAGTACAATTGTGATGAAGAGATTGGCAACCATGGAAACCTGGCTGAATCTTTCCACAGTGCCTGTGTTTGGGGAGGGGGGGGGCGGTAAGGAAAGCGCCACCATCTGGTGTAATCTGTTGGAGATGTAAAGTTTCTGCCTTTCGGGTTTTTGGGGGAGAGCTCCTGGTGCCCTGCATCATATCCCCGTGGTCTACCACTGATTTCAATGCAAATTCAGATTTCCGTAGTTTCTCACTTGAACTTACTACTCTTGCCACCACTTTTCTGTTTTCTGCCTCAGGGCATTCAAACCCAGCAAAGGAAGGAGGTTGGTTAATATCCTGGGCCACCTTTAATTAGGGGACAAGAGCCCATGCCTCATCATTGTGCTTTCTCCAGGGGTCCCACAGACTTGTCCGCTACCCTCCAGCAGTCACCCTGATGATGTCGAATGGCTGTATTGGCTTTTCTCCTTCCTTGGTTGTACCTTTCCTCACTTCTATTCCCTGGGATCATCTCCTATTTTAGTCCTGCTAAAGCCCTGTCTATTAGCAGTGTGTCACTTGAGTTGACTATAGGTTAGTAAGTGCAAACAAAAGCCTTCTGTAACTACATTTAGTTTCTTCTTAATGTCCCTGTCTATCAATAATAGCACGTAAAATAATGTGTGTGGGAGGAAGGCGAAGAGAACATATTGTGCAATGCAGAATGGCACACACATTGCTGAAGTTTAAATTTATTCACACTCTGTAATGAGATCATTATGTGAGAATTTATTGGATTTTTCAGCAACCTCCATTTCTCTCCCTTCACTTAGAAGGACTGAAGGGAATTTGAAAAACCAGAAAATCGTTGACCACGTTAGCACTAGATATACCTCTTTTTATTCGTCATTTATTCATTTATCTATTTTATTCATATGTATTCATCTTGTTTTGAAGAATTCTGGGTGGGTCTGTTTATAAGACTAAATTATATAATATAATGATAGAAAGCTATTAAAAATGCTGTAATGCAGGAAGGGGGCACATCACAGATTTAGGATAGAAATTGCCAAAGATAGTCAAGAAACCAATCTGATCTATTTCAGGATAATTTTGAAAAGGTACTTTGTCTTAAATGCAAGACTTCTCTTTACTTAGCTAGAAGATACTCATATTCCTGTTTCTTCTTTTAGCTGAGCCTAGACTCAAGGAATTAAGAGTTGAAAGGTGAATTTGTTCTGGATGATCACTTTTCATCCTTGACAATTAGAAGTAGTATCTGAAAGCAGTTACCATAGAGGCTGACACATTGCAGGCACTAAATGTTTTAAGGTAAATGATAAAGGTATATGTTGAGTTGCCAAATTATGTGTGTCTTAGACTGGTATCCCCACGATTAAGAGTGGGGAAACTCTATTTGCCTAGCCGTGAGGGGCTCGTACCACCAACCTGTGACTGCAGACGTTTATTTTAGTTTGTAGGTTTATTTTGTAGGAGACCGGGCATCCCTACAAAACACTTTTTCTCAATACACAGTGTTCTGTGTAACAGTGGATATTTTGTTGTAAAATTGATGAGATCATTAGATAATTTAGTATTCCAACTCCTCAGTTAACATTTCAAGTCAGACCCAGAGAGGAAGTGACTTTTCCAAGGTACACTCACCATGTTTAGCTAGTTAATGATATAGCAAGGACTAGAACACAGATCTCTGCATGTAATCCTCTTTCTTTTTTTTTTTTTTTTTTATTTTTTTTCAACGTTTTTACTTATTTATGGGACAGACAGAGACAGAGCATGAACGGGGGAGGGGCAGAGAGAGAGGGAGACACAGAATCGGAAACAGGCTCCAGGCTCTGAGCCATCAGCCCAGAGCCTGACGCGGGGCTCGAACTCACGGACCGTGAGATCGTGACCTGGCTGAAGTCGGACGCTTAACCGACTGCGCCACCCAGGCGCCCCTGTAATCCTCTTTCTAAGATGGCTCCCATCTCCAGCCCTGGTCAGGGGACAAAACAAGGCATTGTTTTTTCTGCAGTAGTTCAAAATGGTTTTTAGACTTAATAAGGATTATGTGTTCTGTGTTTGATTTAAGGTATGTGGAGAAAATTTAACAGTTAAGAGCTTATACAAATAGATTATTTAGAAAGTCAGGACTAGTAGATGGGCAAAGTACATAAGCAAACAAGTGATAAATTATAAACATCTATAAGTATTGAACAGTATGGGACCAGCTTAGAAAGCAGGTACAACATTTTTGATAGACTGGTTTGCAACCAATAAAAAGCTAGCTGTGGTGACTTAGAAATCATATCAGTCTACTGGAGATTCTGGACTGTTCTTTATCCTTTCCTTTTATACTGTGCCTTATACTTGGAAGTCTTCAGTACTTTACATTAAAAAAAATACATTTAAAGGACTAATTTCACATATAGAATGTTAACTAATGTCAGCTTCTGAAATTCACTGTCTATTCAGTCTGAAATTCTCCAGTTTATCTTCTGGCCTATATACCATGGAAAGTGGTTGTTTTGCTCTTGTTAGTCTTGATGTACACATTAAAAACTAGCTGAAATAAGAGTTGGTATGGTAATGATTTAATGAACTGACACAGTGTTTCTGTTACTTGCTAGAACCATCTGAGTGTATGTTTAAAAACTTTTCTGGGGCGCCTGGGTGGCTCAGTCAGTTAAGCGGCCGACTTCAGCTCAGGTCACGATCTCGCGGTCCGTGAGTTCAAGCCCCGCGTCGGGCTCTGGGCTGATGGCTCAGAGCCTGGAGCCTGCTTCCGATTCTGTGTCTCCCTCTCTCTCTGCCCCTCCCCCGTTCATGCTCTGTCTCTCTCTGTCTCAAAAATAAATAACACGTTAAAAAATAATAATAATAAAATAAAAATAAAAAAAACTTTTCTAAAAACAAAGTTACCACCTTAATCAAATATGTCTTTCTTTCTTGTAGAGCCTCTGTTATGCACCTAAAGCCATACTGGAAACTCCAGAAGAAAGAGCGACCTCTGGAAATCAGCAGGGAAACTTTGAGAACTCCTATGAGCCACCACGAAGCTATAAATGATGAAAAATGCAAAGCTAGCTACATGAAACCAAGTGTCTTTCCTTCACCCTCTCTTGGTAAAGTGTCATCTCGAAAGCCTCTTGGGATTCTTTCTCCAAATGTTCTGTGCAGTATGAGTGGGAAGAGTCCGATAGAGAGCAGCTTGAATGTTAAAACCAAGAAGAATGCACCGTCTGCATCAATCCACCAGGGTGAAGAAGGGGAAGGGCCGCTTGATATCTGGGCTGTTGTGAAACCGGGAAATACCAAGGAGAAAATTGCATTCTTTGCAGCCCACCAGTGTAGCAATAGGATAGGATCTATGAAAATAAAAAGCTCCTGGGATATTGATGGGAGAGCTACTAAAAGAAGGAAAAAATCAGGAGATCTTAAAAAAGCCAAGATACAGTTGGAAAGGATGAGGGAAGTCAACAGCAGGTGCTACCAGCCTGAGCCCTTTGCATGTGGCATTGAGCACTGTTCTGTGCATTATGTGAGTGACAGTGGGGATGGCGTCTATGCCGGGAGGCCTCTGTCAGTCATACAGATGGTTGCCTTCCTCGAGCAAAGAGCCAGTGCCCTGCTAGCTACATGTACGAAAAACTGCACTAACTCACCTGCTGTGGTGAAGTTTCCTGGGCAATCCAGAAGTGTGCCCCCAGCCTCCGAGCCCTTTTCTGCCCCAGGAGCTTGTGAAGAATCCACGGAAAGGGGAAATTCTGAGGTTGGTGAACCACAGAGCGAGCCAGTCCGTGTCCTTGACATGGTAGCCAGGCTGGAGTCTGAGTGCCTGAAGCGGCAGAGCCAGCGTGAGCCTGGGAGCCTCTCGAGGAATAACAGCTTCCGTCGAAATGTGGGCCGCGTGTTGCTTGCAAATGGCACTCAGGCTAATGAAGGCAAAACAAACAAAGGGGCCTTGGAGGCACCAGACACTCAGGTGAATCCTGTGGGGTCTGTATCTGCGGACTGTGGCCCCTCAAGAGCCGACCATTGTTCTCCCAAGGGGGATGAGTCCTGGGACGGTGCTCCTCGGGGCTGTCCGTCGTTGCCAGCGAGTGTGAATTTCCTCATGGACAGTGCAGAATTTGAGCCAGATCAGCAAACTGCCCTGAAAAATGGCAATAAATATGATGTGGAGATGACAGAAGAACTTGTTGGGTCATCTTTTCCTGCTGGCACCTGCCCTCAAGCCATTGAATTGCCCACAGATGCCGTTGATTGTCTGAGTAGAGAGCTCGTGCCGCTTACTAGCCAAAATCCTGATCAGAGAAGAAAGGAATCTTTGTGCATTAGTATCACTGTGTCCAAGGTAGAGCAAGGCCAGCCTTCTAGTTTAAAGCCCTGTGAAGACCCACTTCCAGGGATGTTGTTTTTTTTGCCACCTGGTCAGCACCAGTCAGACTGTTCCCAGTTGAATGAAAGCACAAGGGAGTCTTCCGTTGCCGGCCACCTTCAGGATGCTGCTGAGGGTGACAGTACCACTGAGGAAAAAAGTGTTTCAGCTGATTCATTTGTCCTGCCAGCCTCTCCTGTGGAAAGTACATTACCGGTGCTTGAGGCATCCAGTTGGAAGAAGCAAGTGTCTCATGACTTTCTGGAGACCAGGTTTAAAATCCAGCAGCTTTTGGAGCCTCAGCAGTACATGGCTTTTCTGCCCCACCACCTCATGGTGAAAATCTTCAGGTTACTTCCCACCAAGAGCTTAGTGGCTCTTAAGTGTACCTGCTGCTATTTCAAGTTTATCATTGAATACTACAATATCAGGCCAGCAGATTCCCGCTGGGTGCGAGATCCACGATACAGAGAGGACCCTTGCAAGCAGTGCAAGAAAAAATACGTGAAAGGGGATGTGTCCCTGTGCCGGTGGCACCCCAAGCCCTATTGCCAGGCATTGCCCTACGGGCCAGGATACTGGATGTGCTGCCACCGGTCTCAGAAAGCCTTCCCTGGCTGTAAGCTGGGGCTTCATGACAATCACTGGGTCCCTGCATGCCACAGCTTTAATCGGGCAATCCATAAGAAAGCGAAGGGGACTGAAACTGAAGAGGAATACTAAAGTCTACATGAGAGGCAACAGAAGGACTGGTTTTCTAGAATTGCAGAACCCCACCTAGAGCTGTAGAGCTACCATGCAAGTGAGTGTTGCCTCTCAGAGCTGTCACTGTAGGCGAATCCGTACGTATTCCATCAGGACTGCCATTGCTCAGGCAATTTTTAAACTCTTGCTTTACGAGCTGTACAAGGAAATCGGTCTCATTGTTTTATAGTGGCACCTCCCATTTGGTCCAGGGTGGTACCCCATGGTTTGATTCACTTGGCTGTGAATAACTATGCCTATTCTCCCAAATCAAATCCATCCTCAAACGACAAAGACTTGCCACCATCAAGGACATTCAGAAGAGTTCATTGCAGACTATGCAGGCGATCCCCAAAAAGGGGTTCCAGAATGTTTTCAAGCACTGGCACCATATTTGAAATAAGTGAATAGTGTCCTCTGGAAAGAATAGCAGCACTCTTGGATGAAAAGTATGCTTACAAAGGAAAAGTCAGGCACCTTACCTTAGCCCTTGTATGCTTGATCTGTGAGATTGAGGTTTGTGGTTGGAGATGGATTTCATGCCCTGTGGTGTTTACAGTGTATATAATGGTTGTGTTTTCATAGGGCTGTGAAAGTGCACATTAAACCCGAGCGCCTTTACCTTAGATGAGTGCTTTTGACCCCTCTGTAAATAACACTATTAAATCCAGTTGTATAGCGCGGATAGCTGACTGAAGAGCATCCCCACAATGCAGCTAGGATAGTGTTGCGGCTACAATTGTGTGGGTTTTTGTTTTGTTTTGGTTTTTTTTTTTTTTTTTGGTCTCATCTTAAATTTGTACATCCTGTATAAAATATGAATGTTTCCCAAATAAACTATGAATGTTTCCTGTATAATATATGAACGTTTCTGAGAAGAAACTCTAAATAGTTAAGAGGTTAACCTGTTGAAGATACCAAATAATGGTTTAACTGGACAACCTTAAAATTAGTATAGAGAAAAATCCTTTGTTATATTTTAGTGATCCATCAAGAATGAGAGAATATTATATAGTCAGATTATAACATTCTTGTCTACTTTACTCTTTCTGTCTGGTTATGAATTTTTTTTTTTAACTTCAATAAAAACATGCATCTTAAATGGGACCTGAGTTTTGCAGATTTCTTTTCCTCCCTTTTTGAGGTAATATTGGAGAATTATGTTGTGAATTGAATCGTTAAGAGTTTAAGGTTTTTTTAGTTGTTAGGAGAAGCAGGGAGAGAAAATTGTTTTTCTGCCACGGGAAAGAGACCACCTTCACTTAACATTATGAACTTACATTTTTGCAACACTTGAACGCTTATTTTGAATTTGTTCTACCCAACACCCACCCACTGTATCTCCTGTTGGAGAAGGTATTATCTAGAATGTTCTCACTGCTTGTCTAGGCATAACTAATCGTTACTAAGTGAGGATACATTCAGGTCTATGGTCATGTAATGCTGGGTGCGGCTGGAAGGTATCAGACCCCAGAAAGCTCTGTGGAGGACCTAAAAACTAGTCTTGAAATCAGGCACCCACCAGAAACCCTTGTAACTGCTGTCACCTCCAGAGAGTGGCTGATGGGGAAGTGATTGAGTAAAGGCCTCCATGGCTCTGAAGGAGAGAGCTGTAAAGGTTGAGTAGGCTTTGGCTCGGTCAGCAAAGGAGAGTGGGACAGGACTGGAGCCAGGTGGAGCCAGGGTCACCTGTGGCTGAGGTGATGGGTGGGTGGCCCTGGAGCTGCTTCCACACTGGAATCTGCCTTGGCCTGTTCTGCCCCTTATCGGTAGGCAAGCTGCTCCTCTCCAAAGAGGCAGTACTAAAACTGAAAAGTGTCTCTCAATGCTGAACGAGTCTGTCCCTGGCAGGAAACGACAGTGACACCTCTGACACGCTAGGCCAGAGCCCGAGACTCACTGATGCGTCTGTGATACAGGACAAGGAGAGGCTGAGAGAGCTTCCCTTTCCTTGATGGGCTCTGTGCCCTTCCTCTGGTCTTGCCCCAGTGGAGGTATGCTGGAAATGCTTTTTAGCCTGAGCGCCCTGGGCTGACGTCTCCAGTGCTCGTCCTCCTCCCCTGGCCATCTCTTCATACCTTCCAGATTGCGTTGTCATGGCTTGTGATTTAGGATCAAAGCAGATCTGCACACACGGGATTTAGAGGACAGCTGGGTGTGCGGTAAGTGCCCAGAAAACGTAGCTCTCGTTGCTGGCTGTTGGTCCTCCATTTGCCCAGGTGGACACGCAGTATAAATAAACCATTCTTTTGGTTGGTTTTCCCAAGTCAGCCATTCAGGATCTGGTTTTCACATGGGACGCAAAGCTGTACCTCAAGTTGACCGAGAGCAGAGGACAAGGTAAGAATACCCCAACCCCATCTTGGCATGTGATTCTTGGCCTCCGAGATTACGGACGACCCCTTTTGAACTTTGTGGCAGGACCGAGTTCCCAGTGCTGTGTGAATGATGGGGGATTTTAGCAGGTTGCATCAGAGGCCACCCCCTCCCTGGTCTTGATTTAGAGGAGTGTAGCTTTCCCCTTAGGGGAAGGCGCTGTGCTTCAGAGCCCCCTAGTGCCAAGCTGGAGGAAGCAGCCCACTTGAAATTTCCTGCCACAGTGCAGCACTAGCCGCCTTCCTACACTGCTCCAGAACCTTAGACTCCTAAGAAAGGGAAACAACAGTGTGGGCACCAGGACCCTAGCTTCCTCCACTGCCACGGGGACACAGATTGAGAAGACTTACACCTTTCGGCTTTTGCTCAGAGGCTCTGATGTGCCTGGCTTAGTTTTCCTCTCCCACCATTAGGAAGAAAAGTCAGAGAAATCTGGGAATCATCCCTGGGGCAGTTCAGCTCTTGTTCCCTGCCCAGTGGATGATGCCAGATAGCCAAGGCAGGAATGAATTGGAAATGGAAAAGGGGCTAAGATAAAAAATTTGTATCCAGGCCTTATCAAAATGACTGGCATTAAAATGGCCATGTGAAGGAATCCTTCGAAACTGACCACATACCCTCCCTACCTTAGCACACTGACAGTTCTGTGCCCTGGAGGTGCACACGACCCCACCCCATTCTGCCCACCTTATTGGGCTGGGTGCCTTTCAGCAAGCACCCTGTGTACATCTGCCACGTGTCCTGTTTTATGTATTGACCTTGCTCCCCCACCATGGGCTCATAGAGGGTAGTTTGGTCATGCCATCCCCTCAGTGCCTCACACACAGTACATGCTCCATAAAACGTTAATAATCCTCTCTAGGGACCACCTTAATGTGAGGTGCACTGGCAGGTTTTGATGGCTCTAGGCTACACTAACTTTCCATCGAGTATGAGAAACCTGAAGTGGGGAGGATAAAGTGATCTAGGAGAATCAGAGCTGGTCCCATGGGGGCATTCTTGGTTAGGGATGCTCCTATAGCAGCCCTAGATTTGTGCTGGGTAACTCAGTTTTGCATTTGGTATGATCTGGGCTCTGTCATTGCAGGTGGCTCCTGACAGCAGGCTGATTTGGGCCTTGGGGCTGCAGAAGGCTGTGTGCTGACAGTTTCGCATGACCTAGGAGCATCCTTCCTGGGCTCTGTCCAGTTATCCCTTCCAACTTGGACTTGTCAGGGCCTCCCTGCCAACCTTTATGGACTGGCCTTGGAGACTTTTTATTATGTGGGTATTCCCAGGCATTTTCCATGGTTTTCACTGCCTTCATTTCTTCTTCACTCAGCAGACTGGCTGTTTGTCCTTTCCTTTCCCCACAGCCTGTCTCAAAACCAGAACGAAGCCAGTCTGCACTAGACTTCTTGCTGTATAATAACAACTGATGTTCTGTAGTTCTTCTGGTCAGGTACCATGCTGCAGTGAAATGCATTCTCTGCTGTGCACAGCACCTAGCACTGGGGGGAAGCTGATCATTTCTATCCCTGCTTTTCCCCTGCGTTCAAACAAGCTAGTGTTGCAATCTCTGTGAGTTGGTAAAAGTACCTCTGTGGGAAATGTGCAATCCCTTCTATTGACGTGTATGCCATTCCTAAGTTTGTGGCCATAGCCGGTGTTTGCACAACCTCATAGAAGAGCAAACATCACTGTAGTCATGCTCCGGTGGGTAACTTCCAGTGTATTTATGCCTAAGCGAAACCACAGGCAGCACCCCTATTCTAGGTGGCTCATTTGACTGTGGTATTATTTTAGAGGAGTAGAGCCACTGGTGTTGGTAGCTGGGAAGGGAGTCAGGAACAGAGAGGTGACAGTCTCTTACACTGCAACAACCCTTGTGAGAGGTGATATTCCTCTAAAAAGCAAAATGAAACCTAATTCCCTCAAAGCTCCCCCCTGCCCCATCCACTCTTTAACAGAGAAAAGACCTCAGGACAAATCAGTTCAGGGACCCTTTGTCTCAAATTGTCTTTGGATTAAGGTGAGCTATTAAAAAGACGTTGAAAATTAGAAGGCTCTATTAAATGTTTGGCTTTTCTCTTTGGAATGATGAAACACAGCCCGGATTAGGTTCTAAAGTTAGCATTTAGGGGGAAAATGACATACAGCTGGAATTACTCTTGGAAATCCTTTGTGTCCATCACCCAGTAGACAGTGATGTATACCATGAACAGTGGTGAGAAACGTGTAAGGTACGAAAGAGGAGGTGCTCTTGCTGAGTGACCAGCTGTGTGCAGCAGAAACGGAGACTTGAGGAATTTGGCACATCCCATCTCCCAGTTAATCAGAGCAGTAACGCCTGTACTATTTAAATTACTTCCTTTCTGTCTCCTCCCCCCTATCAAACAGTTGACTTACAAACTGGTGTTTTCAGGTCTCTATTAAGTAGTATGAAAAATACGATGCGGTTCTTCAAAAACCAAATTCAACCTAAGTTGCTAATCAGGAAGATGTAGAGCAAGGTTGTATTTGTGTCAGTTCCCCCCTCCCCCATCTAAGAGGTTAGATGCCCTATTTGCACAACTGGTGTTTGCAGGCCACCCGGAGAAGAGACGGAGCCAGGCCTGACCCATTGGCCTTCCTTATTCTGGGACTCAGCCGTTGGCCTTCACTGTGCTCTTACTCTTGAAGCCTCCTCTGTGTAGGCAGTTGAGCAGGATTCTCCTGCAGGGTGTGTGGCCTGCCGTCAACAGTTCTTCCACCACATACTTGCCAGACCCTCCTGGGTAGGGATGGTGACGCAGCTGCCCCAGCACCCAGCTGGGACCTTTTCCCATTACTGCATTCTTTTCCACGGCCAGGAGTCTGGGCCTAAGACCCCTCAGTTTATTCCAGTCTATACTCAAAAGATTCTTCATTGCACAGGGTCTCAACAGGAAACTGAGGGCACGTCCAAAATGAGTGAATTTGAGGAGGATTTATTATAAGGGTATGTGTGTGGGGCAAGTCTTCCCCAGTATTTTTCAGTCTCAGGGCAAGAATACAATATAGGACCCTTCTGCAGCCCCTCTCTGCACCCCCATCTTATGTTTTTGCATATTGATTCCATGTTGAAATAATATTTTGGATATCTTGAATATAAAAATTGTACCTATTTTTACCATTTTAATGAGACTAACAATTTAAACTTACACATACAGGTTACATTATTTCCACTGGACAGTGCTGATTCTGATTGGTGCTGAAGATCCTGCATTTTTAAAATACAGACATAACACACAGACTCATTTATTATAATCCCATTAAAAATTTATTGGAGTATAGTTGACATATAGTGTTCTATTAGTTTCAGGTGTGCAACACTGACTCAGCAATTCTGTACATTACTCAGTGCTCATCACAGGTAAGTGTAGTCACCACCTGTCACATACAATGTTATTACAAGATCATTGACTATATTCCCTATGCTGTACTTTTCCATCTGTGTGACTTGTAAGCTCTAAACCCAATGTAGGGCTTGAACTCATGACCCCCAAGGTCAAGAGTTGCATGCTCTACTGAGCCAGCCAGGCATGCCCCGTGACTTATAACTGAAAGTTTGTACCTCTTAATCCACCTTCACCTGTCTCACCCATCCCCCCATCCTCTTCCCCTCTGTCAATTACCAGCTTTCTGTACTTATGAGTCTGTTCACTTTTTTTAGATTCCACATAGAAGTGAAATCATGGTATTTGTCTTTCTCTGAATTATTCCATGTAACATAATACTCTCTACGTCTATGTTGTCACACAAGATCTTTTTTTGTGGTTAATATTCCATTGTGCATGTATACACATCTTTATCCATTCTTCTATCCATGGACACTTAGAGTGCTTCCATATCTTGGCTATTACAAATAATGCTGCCATAAACAGGGGTGCATATCTTTTTGAATTAGTGTTTTTTGTTTCTTTGGGTAAATAGCCAGTAGTGGAAATACTGTATTATGTGGTACTTATTTTTTGAGGAAACTCTCCACTGTTTTCGAGTGGTTATACCAATTTACATTCCTACCAACAGTGCTCCAGGGTTCCCTTTTCTTCACATCCTCACCAGTATTTACTTGTCTGATATTAACCATTTTGGTGTGAGGTGGTATCTCATTGTGGTTTTGATTAGCATTTCCCTGATGATTAGTGACGTTGAGCTCCTTTTCATGTGTCTGTTGGCCCTCTCTCTGTGTTCTTCAGAAAAATGTCTGTTCAGGTCAGGACGTGGATTGGGGTTTTTTTGGTGTGAACTGCATAAAGTTTATATATTTTGGATAGTAACCCTTACTGGATACTTCATTTCCAAATATCCTCTCGAATTCAGTAGCTTGCCTGTATGTTTGTTAATGGTTTCCTTTGCCGTGCAAGAGCTTTATTTTGTGGTAGTTCCAAGAGTTCATATTTGGCTGAGGACACATATCCATAAATATGTTGCTAAAGCTGAAGTCCAAGAGATTACAGCATGTTTTCTTTTAGGAGTTTTATGCTTTCAAGTCTTACATGTAGGTCTTTAATCCATTCTTAGTTTTTTTGGTATATGGTATAAGAAAGTGTTCCAGTTTTCCCACCACCATTTAAGAGACTGTCTTTTCTTCATCGTGTATTTTTGCCTCCGTTATAGTATGTAGCTTAACCATATAAATATGGGTCTATTTCTGGGCTCTCTGGTTTCATGGATCTATGTGTCTGTTTTTGTGCCAGTTCCATAGTGTGACTACTACAGCATCGTAGTGTATCTTGAAACCTGGGTTTGTGATACCTCCAGCTTTGTTCTTTCTCAAGACTGCTTTCGCTACTCAAGGTCTTTTGTGGTTCCATACAAATTTTAGGATTATGTGTTGTATTTCTTTTTTTCAGGGCATTTTCTCACCAGATCCTTGGAATGGGATGCTGGTGGTGGCTTTCTCTCATTGAGCATCTCATAGCTGAAGTTCAGGTGACCTGCCCAAAGCCCAGTTTCAAATTCCTGGTACATCTTGTTGATGTAACTTTTAATGACCACCCAACTACTAAGGATAAAGTTATCCTTAGTGCTTCCTATCTGCTTTGCCCTGATTCCCACATCAGTCATGATGGAGCTCTGGGGCTGGGCACCTCCGAGCAGTATACACTAGATAAGAGGAGCGTGTTTGGAAGGGTTACTAGGAGGAGGAAGGGCACTGGCACTGAAGCGCGTGCCCTGTTTGGGACCCTTCTGTCTCCTTGCCCATTTTCCTCCTGCTACCTGGTAGCTTTCTGCAGGTGAAACAATAGGGCGAACCACGCAGCAGTTCCCCAGTAATCACTCTTCTCCAGGATCTAACCTGAAAGGGGGTGGGGGAAAAGGGGAAGAGTGATTCTTCAAAACTATCTGCATTTTCTCTCAACTCAACAGATCGCCTCCAACCTCTGACATTTCTCTTTCTCTCCTGTCCTGAAGAAAGTCTGGGCAGGTTCCATATGGGCACCCTGTAGGCCCCCGTGCATTCCTTCCCACAGAGCTGCTGCTGTGCTACATACACCAAGTCACCGCAGGGCATGTGCATCATAGATGCATCTTTCCAGAAAGTATGTAACTGGTAAGCAACTAGTTTTTCCCAGCTTACTAAAGATAGACGGTTACTGTTAATACCACCATAAGCTCTAATTTTTAAGATTACCAGGCCTTTTTCATTACCTAGCAAAAAATTCTAAAAAGATTACCCTATAATTTGTATGAAGTATTTCAGTCAAATTTCATTCTTGCTACCCTTGATGTATCAATAGAAACGAGCAATCAGAGCTTGAAAAAGACATACATATTAGCAAAGTACTGTTAAAAGATTTATTGCAATAATACAATAAAAGTTTAGAAAACATTTGTTATGACTCAAACTGGTTTGGAAGTCACAGAGTAATGGGAAATTCCTGCAACATGACACCACAAGGAGATTCTAAGTCACTGTAGTTCTTTTAAAAACAGCATGCTCCTGAATGCTCTTTACCGAATTATCGAAACACGAATCCTTAAATGAATCCTGTCCAACAACACCCAATGTTGACATACTGTTTTTCCCCTTAACTTAAAGATGTGCAAAACTTCTTAGTTATATTCCATTACAAAAAAAAAAGTAACAGACCATTTGAAGCAGCCTATTTGGTGCCTGTAGGTTTTTATTAGTATTACCTTGTTTTGACAAATCATTTTATATGGAAAACATGACCAAGTTCTATGGCTTTTGTTTAAAAAAAAAAAAAATACCAGCTTCAATTTTTAAAAAGCTGTTTACATATGGTTCTGGCACCTACATGAAAGATTTTAATGAGCAGCAAAGAGAGTAGGAAAAAACAGTGGTTGAAATGTATATTTAAGAATATTTACAGGGTGGATCCAGTGCAAAATAATGAAAACCAAAATATCTCAGCAGTGTAAGCCAGTATGTTGGTGTTTGAAACCACTAAAGGGTTTGATCATTTAACCCTAAATAAAGTGCCTCTAGTTGATATAAACAACAAAATATACCCTACCAATCCCTAATTTCCCATATTCTTGTAAGTTCTGTTGAATTACTCTAGATATGAGTTCTGACCTCTGGATTCTATTCTTTAGCTCAATCTCCCATTCATAGTTTCGTAAGAGGCTTGAGCAAAACCATGACTGTGCATCTTTTAGCTGCAGTCCCGTCTCTATCCCCAAGCCCCAAATGCGTCTTCCAAAACTGGAGACTAAGCTCTTCTTTTTGAGGGTCTGAAATGCCTAGACAACCCTCATTTCATGGGATTTTAAGTTCATTTGGTATTTGTTCAAGTCTGCCGTACCCGTTCTCTGAATTTCAGACCTGCGTGGTACAATGCCAGCTCAGCAGTCATGAAGCTGAGCACTTAAAACAGACACCTGCTATTGAGAACCAACACGTTTCCTCCCTAAGTGGAAAATCCAGAGAGTCTGGGAACCTGTGACTCCTGGATAGAAATAAACCCTTCTTCTGCAACTCTACCAAACACTAAATATACCAACAGCAAAAGCTATATAGCACCTCGGATTTGGAGGCAAAGTATCAACTATGATAATTACAAGAAGAAAAGAAGCTAGGGCAAATCTCTGAATGATTTATCTGAGGTACTGTCATGCTAATCACACTAACAAGATATGGTAATAATGCCTGTTAGGAATTTTTCATAGGATTTCTTTTTGTAGTTGTTACATAGGATTTTTTTTGCAATTATTAAAAATAAAAAACTACTTACATATTTGTACATAATGCCTCTACAGTTTTCTTATAAGATTGTCACTAAGAGAATGACAAGACAGACACATTAGCTGAAAATGATCTCCTGGTGAGGAAAAATTCTGTCAGAGCCTTCCCCACGATAGAGAATAGTATCAGCTATAACGATTTGCTCTGCATTTCTGAGTGAAGACAGTGTCCCTAGAGCAACAAAGACCTCTAAGAAAACAAGCAGGATGGTTTTCTCTTGGAAAACCTGCCACCTACTGAATCCCTTAGAAAGAAATTGGGACACCAGAAGAATGACCAGAGGCCATTTAATTAAGTGGCTTTTAACCTGTGCCCAGGCAGGCATTTCACTTACATAAGGGAACAACCTTAATAACTTATTTTTCACTCAGAAGAAAAGTTCAGCTTCAAAATGCACATAGTGTAGATGGTAGGAATTCAATAATCTGAGAATGAACTTAATTCCCTTCAGAATCTAAGAAAATAGTTTTTAAATCTCCAGGCCATCACTGCAGCTGGGAATTCTTCTGTTCATGGATGTAGGTCCAAAAATAAAAAAGACCTTCATTTCTTTGGTGTGTGGGGATAAAGAAAACCAGGAATGTCTGACAAGCTACGACAGCAGCAGCATGAATGAGATAATTTTCAAACTACCCCTCCCCTCCCCCAAAACACCCCCCCTCCTTCCAAACAAACCAAAATCCTTGACCTAAAAACCAAACATGACCAAATCCTAAAGAAATCAAGTATTTCAAATTGCCTGCTGGTTCTCTGTACAAAAAAATGATGGCATAAGAACAAACGCATATGAAACAGTTTGTATCTTGCAAGTCCTGATCATCAAGAATCACTTCCTTGTGATTCTGCCTCTAAAATGTGAAGTGTTCAGGAACAGTCTCCACATCACAAGGACCAATGTGTCAACCTGCATCCATGGGTCCTGTGGCCTGTGACTGAAGGGAGCCCAAGTGAATTTTCTGCTTCAACAGAACACACACACTGGTCTTTCTTCCACCAACACTGGTCTGGGCAGAAGGACCTCTGACCCTGCTGTTCTACTATAAGCATGTGGGTCACTCCCATCGGCCATCTGATAAACAGAAATGCTTGTCTCCCTGCTTTACCAAAAACACAATGGTTTAACCTCTTTCTGTTCCAGGCACTATTTTAACTGAATACATAAACTTTACTAGAACATAGTGGAAGAACAACTATCTTGATGCAAACCTGGCATGTTTTGGTCCGGGTGCGTTAGCGGTGTCCAGTGTAAGCCTTAAACCAGGAGGTCACCGAGGCTGCGGCAGAGGAGATCATTCCACCGGCACTGCTGCTCGCGATGGGCGGGGATACCTGGCTGCTCTGGCTCTGGGAGCCTTCCACAGGCTGGGAAGGGATATCGCAAAACCTGGGACTCGGCAAGTTCTCCCAGTCTGTGCCCAGGTCGGTTTCCTCATCACTGACGCGCTCGTCGCCACTCTCATCTGACTCCCCGGCAACGCCGGGGTCCACAAACTCCATGGACTCCTCGAGGTCCGCTCGCACTTCAAAGGGTCCCGACCTGTGCACACACAGTGAAGGAGTCTTTAAGACAACCAGCATTGTTGGGGTGCCTGGGTGGCTTGGCCGGTAAGTGTCCAAACTCTGGATTTCGGCTCGGGTCATGATCTCACAGTTTGTGGGATCAAGCCCCAAACTGTCGGGCTCTGCATGGACCATGGAGCCTGCTTGGGATTCTCTCCCTCTCTGCCCCTCTCCCACTGGCGCTCTGTCTCAAAACTAAACGTCAAAAAAAAAAAAAAAAAGACAACCAGCATTGTGACAACACATGACATAAGGCCTGACAGGATAGGAGGTCCGGAACCACCACTCCACCTGTTTCCCAAGTCAGCACTGTGCTCGCTGTTGGTCTATAATTAGTTTTTCTTTACCTAAATAACTGCCATCCAAGTAATGAACAAAACCACAATACCACACTTTTCCTCAACTCTACCTACTTGATTTGTGAAGATCCTGGATGGGAAAAACCCAACCACTGAGACTAACCATGCTGGTCCAAAGTACAATTCCCTGTTTTATACTACTGTATCATCTATGCATTTTAATGAGACAATTCTGACAAAAACAGTCACTTGATATATACTCTGGTATATTAGTTGGTGGAACAAGAAATAAACGTAAAGGAAAAAACCGTACAGATGTTCTCTGCCTTATGGAAGCCTCCAATTACTGTATTCCTATGACTCAAAAGAACTAAATGGTACGGCTGTATGCATGTTAGCAATGCTCCCTTGGATGGGTGTCATCAGCAGGCTCCTGCACACATTTTAAGATATCCCATAATTTTCAAGGGACACATTTATAACAGAATGAGATATAACTATTTAGATTGTATTCATCTGGAATAGTGCCTACTTCTGCACTATATTTTGGGAGAAAACTATTCCCCAGAGGTCCCTAATGACGTCATCTCCAAATCTAATAACATTTCTCAGGCCTCGCCCTCTGACAGCTCCTCAGCACCACGGTGGAACTGTGTCAGCAAACCCCACCCAGCTCTGCTGCTGCCTCCTTCCCCTGCCCCTTTCAAGTGTCGGTCAGCTCCTGCCTCAGGAGAGCCATTTCCTTCTTTGGCTGGGCGAGGTGGGGGTGGGGGGGGGGGGGGGGGGGGGGGGGTGGGTGCACAGTCACCCACCCACTTCTCTTCCATGCGGCCATCCACGGGGTGGGGCCAAGTCCCTCCAGCGGCCTCTCTCTCCACCCCCAAGATAAGGACACATGCCTCAGTTCATTTACCAGTTTCAGTGATATTTACGTTGGGGAAAATGACAGGGGCTAGCAAAAATAACAGAAATGAGAAATACCCTAGAGTACGGCCTGCCATTTTGGCCTATGGCCCAAAATTCTTTACAGCCTTTGTGAAACAGTGCAGCGCTGGCCTCCAGCGCACCTCACTACACCCACACCTTCCAAATCACTTGCTCCAGGGTCAGGTAGCCTTTGCTCCTCCAAGACAACCCTGCTTCCCAGCTGAAACACAGCAAGAGTAACAGCTAACATTTCTGTTCCAGGCACTGTTTTTAGGGCTTTATACAAATACTAAGTTGAAAGATGCACCACAGGGTTTCCCTTTGGTCTCCTGGGAGCAATTTACATTTCAAAAAGCCCTTCAGACCAGGGGCTCCCAAGTTTACCAGGAGAAGGGTAATTTTGCAAGGGGTGAAGGCAGCAGGAACTGGGAGACTCTCCTCACAACCCTTCTACCTCCCCCTGCAGCTTGATTCTCAAATCAACAACTACTGAAACCAGCACCTTAGCAGAGTATCCCTTTCCTGTTTCCTTAAAAGATTCTCCTTACCTTTCGTTTTCTTTGTTTTTTTTGATACCTCTCCTCCTAGCCTCACTGCCTGCTAGAGCTCTCCATCCAAGGGCTAACCTCCCAGGTTCATCTCAGGTATCTGAGCCAGTTGACCAGTCTCAAAACAAGCCAGGCGGGCCTCCTCCCTCATATCACCAAATAAGTCCCCTTCCAATCCTTACCATGTCCCTCCAGCTCAGGTCCTTACTTCACTACTGCCTCCTCCTCGCCAGCGTCTGCCTCCAGTCAGTCCCACCGGCCTCAGCTTGCCAGAGAGCCACCTCTCTCTCCTCGTGGCGGCTGCCTACTAAAACTGTTCACAACTTAAGTATCTTAGCTGGGTTACCCCCTTTCCTAAACACAGAGCTCTCTCATTCTGTCCTGTTGAGCTCTGTTGTCCAGGGGCCTCAGCACCGGGCGCCATTTCAAGCCTTCCTTTCTGCTAGCTCAGAGGCACAGCCTGCTTTCTGTCCCTCTTCGATGCCACCTTATCCAACTGGTGGGAGACTGCCACGGTCCCCAGACCCCCCTCCTAAAGGGTTTTCCCAGGGGACAGGCAGAAGTGATACAAGGGGAGGTGTGTGTGGGGGGGGGGGGGAGGGTGATACTTCTTCCAGGCAGAGCTCCCCTGGAAACCACTTGGGTACTTCTCTGCTTGGAATCTCACAGGGCAGAGTCTACTTGGCATGGATGGGTGCTCATTTAAGTACTTCAACTGAAAAAGCAGTCAATGATTCCCAAAGCGGCCAGTTGGAACAATTTTTGTTGCCCAGCATACCCTGAGCCACACACGTTACACAAAATTAGCAGAAGAATTAAGTCTCTTATGCTTAATGTCTTTGGAGAATAAAGATTACTAATTTTTTCATGATGCTGGAGGGAATTATTCTTACCAATTAAGGCAACAAAATGATCTTTTTGGTTTTTTTAAAGTCTCTTTTGCAAACTATCTTATTTCAAAAATATTACCTGACAGAATATATAACTTCAAGAATAAACTCTGTACACTTTGGACGATAATGATGTGTTAAGGTAAGCGCCATCGTGATAAAGATTGAATGATATAAGAAAAATCAACAGATATTAAATCCTGGGGAAAATTCTAATGAGCAGGGTAACTGCATGGTCTGTCTCTCCACGGACTACTCAGCTGCAAGAAAAGACAAATACAGGAATTCTGCAGTGGAGAAGGTAAAAAGCATCCTGAGTGGGTGATCAAATTCACATCACCAATGAGGGGACAGGAGGCCACTGTGGCCTCCAGAGTGTCCAGGAAACACTCCTGCCCAGGCAGTGTTCCAGCCTAGAATGCACAGAATTCCTAGAGTCTCAATACAGGAAAACATCAAATTCAGAATCAAAGTTCTATTAAAAAAAAGGGAAAAATGTTAATGTTGTAAAAGACAAAGTGGGCTATGAGCACGTTCCAGATTTAAAGAAGGTTAAAGAAACACAGCAACTAAGTCCAACACCAGACTCTAGACTGGATCCTGTGCTAGAGGGGACAGTAGAATAAAAGACATTAATCTAGTCCATAGACAAAATGGGCAGGTGGGCGGTAGATTAAAATATTCTATCAATGTGAAATTTGCTAATGTTGGTAACTGTACTATGGTCAAGCAGGAAAATATCCCTATTTTTAGGAGATATATGAAGAAGTATTTAGGAGTCAAGAGCCATGAGGTATACATAACCTATCCTCATAGCGTTCAGGGAAAAAAAAAAAAAAAAGTGTGTGTATTTTTAGAGAGATCACACAAATGATAAAGCAAGCAGGGTAGAACAGTAACAAAGGTGAGTCTGGGTAAAGGGTATATGTCTTTGTACTACTATTGTTTTTTGCAATTTTGAATATATTTGCAAGTTTGTATTTCAAAAAAAAAAAAAAAGTTTATGTTGGATTCTGGATGGGATCCTCAGTTCAGTTGATCTCAATGGAAACAGAAAATCCCACCCAAGTTACAGTAACAATCTCTCCAAAGCCTTGATTGTGGCTGAGGCAGGTGTGAAAGAGGACTTTTGAAGCTCTAGTTCCTCCTGGCTCAAAGACTACAGACTCGAATGTCATGAGCCTGGCTGTGTACACAGACTTCCGTCAGACAGAGCCCCCTGGTGCTAACTGGAGCACTGACTCAAGGGTGAGTCCACAGATAGCTTCAGACCCTCCAAAGAAATCTGCCCCCAGTAGAAGAGTGCCTGTTTTTCTGAACCACCACCAATACTGAGTAGCATCAGTCCTTTCCATTTTTCCAAACTGATGGGTGAAAACTGGAAAGCTGTTTTGAATTACACTTTATTCTCAGTTGAGGCTGAAGATTTTTTTCATTTGAATATGGACCAGTTGCATTTTTTGTGTGTGAACTGCCTATATCAATCCATTGTCTACTTTTTATTAGGTTTGCCTTTCTTTTACAGATTTGAAGGGGTTTTTTGAAAGATTTCTTCAAGTAGTCTAGATTTGAATCCCTTGTCTGCTATATAGATTCCAAAGGGTATCTGTTGCTTGTCTTTTTAGCTTTGTGTATGGTATCTGGTATTCTACCAGAGGCATTTAGAGGTTTGACATAGTAAAATATGTAACTCTTTTCCTTCCTTCATGGTTTTTGGACTTTGCGGCTTGTGTGGGAATTCCCTCCCCACCCTGTGATTATAAAACACTGTCTTTTCTCCTAGTTATTTTCTAGGTTTTTTGTTTTTGGGTTTTTTTTTTTAAATAAAATAAGGTCTTTGTTTCATCTGGGTGGAATGTGGTATGAATTCGACTTTCTCCCTGTATGAATACCCAACTAAGCTCACCATTATTGAGCTATTATTATCTGACGCAGCACGCTACCCCTATCACCTATTCTCTGCATATACAGGGTTTGCTTCTGGACTCTATTCTCGTCTCACTGCTCCACCTACTTGCATGCTAACAGCACCTTGTTTTCATTACCTTTATATGCTGCGTTAAAAGGGGCCAAGCTCATCCTTTACTATTCTTTTTCACAATTTCCTTGCAGACTGTGCTTCTAATTCAACTTCAGAATTAGCCTGTCAAAGTTCCAATAAACATCTGTTGAAATTCTGATCAGGTTTCCTTTTGGGGAGAAGTAGCATTTTTATAATACTCAGCCTTCCTATTTCTAGACAATCCTAAGGGTCTTCACTGCCTCAGGCATTCTTTCATTCAGTCCCACACCTCATACAGTGCCTGGCAAACATTCAAGAAATGTGTGTTGCATAATTTTAAGTTTCATATTCCCTTCATATAGGTTTGCATATATTTTGTAAAGGTTATTCCTATACATAGTTTTTGTTGCTACAATAAAAGGAATCTTGTTTTTCATTTTTTCATTGTATCCTCTGACTAGTTGCTGGCGTATAAGAAAGCAGCGGCTCTTTGTATGGTGGCCTTGAATCCGGTCACCATTCTGAAGTATCATTTCTAATAGTTTTAGTTCTCCTAAGTGTCCAGTTCAGTAATCATATCCTCTACAATAATGTCAATTTAGTTTCTTTACAATATAAACATAGCTTACTTCTCTGTAAAAATGTTTTGCCTCACCTAGGCCCCCAGAGCAACGTTAACATAGCAGTGATAACAGGCATCCTTGTTTATTCCCGACTAGAGAGGAATTCTTTTATCAAACATCTATATAAGTAAAATGTCATCATAGCCTTTTCTGTAGGTTTATGGTAGATATCTATAGATATTTGTTTATAATTTATTTTTAATTTACAAGGAGTTTTAACTATTAATAGGAACTGAATTTTATTCACTGCTTTTCTGGCATCTATCAAGCTGACCTCACATGTTTTTTCTTCTTTAATCCGTTAACGTGATGAAGTGGTATATACTGGTTAAAAAGCAGGAGTGTCTACTACTTTCTGGAGTCAGATGGGTGCTGGGACCCTGGTTCCACTACTTTCATGCCTCTGTGACCATGGGCATGAATTACTTGACCGTGCTAAGCTTCAGTTTCCACCCGCTCTGTAAAATAGGAGTAATAATCCCACTTGTGATTTAAGGCATGTCAGGCAGTTGGCCCAGTGTCAATAAATATTGGCTCAATAAATATTTGTTCTTATTATAAAGGATCAATATCCTAATGTTGAACCCTTTACAAATAAGGTAGAGAGAATGGCAAGCAAACCCACAGAAATCAGCCACTAAAACTGGAGAGGATTTCTAACAGGTTTGTGTGGCTCGTGAACCAATAAATGGAATGTAAGGTGAGGGGCATGAACTCCCCTATAAAACGGCACAAAATTCTGGTGTGTGTGCTATTTCCTGGAGAGAGTACATAGCTTTTTCCAAAGAGTTCTATGTCTTAGGAAAGTTACTGTTCTAGGTGGGGGGAGATACACAAGCCAGTGGTTAAGGGCAGATCACCACAAAAGTTCACTGCAACATGGAGGAAGCCAGACATCCTGGCTTCCTGGCCAGTGGAGCGGGTACCCCTTGAGCCTTGGTTCCAGTGTCAAAGCAAATGAACATGGGAAAGGGCCTCCCCAAAATAACTTTCCACCTTCTGTTTTTCTTTGTTCTCTTTCAAAAATGCCAATACCTTAACCAAGTCAGATCTGCAGAAACGTGGAGACCGTCAAGAGCAAGGGAAGAAGTGCTCAGAGAGGGCCGCTTGGATGACACCAAAGAAAAGCCTCATCTGTGTCCTGCTTTTATGGGCCGAGAGACTAGAAAGAGCCCAATGACTAGTCCTGGTTGGTGTTTTTTGTTACTGACACCTGTTTTTAAGCTAATAGATTTTAAACTACTTCACTCCATCAACTTCTACCAAGTTTTACATCCAACAAATGGTGGCCAGATCAAGAAAAAGAAAATTGGGAAGAATGGTGGGAGTAGCGAGCGGGCATGAAAGCAAATGCACAGGAAATGGGGTAGACCCCTCCACGGGGCTGGGAAGAAACTGACGTGGATTCAAAGAAAGGGCTTTTGGTCTTCAAGGACAGCACCAGGAGGCCCCACTCCAGAAACAGTTGGGTTCTTCCCTTTTGTTTTAGGTGTTAAAAATGTTGGATATTAATTTTCTGAGAAATGATTTTTTAAGGACCATAAAGACGCAAACAGGATTAGCCTCTGGTTTCCTCCTGTGCGGGACTGGATTATTTTTATCCTTTTTGGAGACTCTGGGGGTGGGGGACAGGCCCCTGTACTCTGCCGACACATACAACTCTCCTTAGAAGTATTCACAACACCACCATTTAGAAAAAAGCAAACACCCTTCTTACCTGCCCAGGTGTTCAGAGTTCGGACTAACCAGGTACATGAGATTCCTGAGAGTATGCAGTGGTTGTAACTGATCTAAATTTACATGCTAGAAAAAGCAAAAAATTGATTAATATTTTCAACCATGTATCAAATTAAAAATTAGCTCACAGTGTATTTCCATACCTGAGAAAAGCAGAGATAAAGAATATTTGCATTCAGTTTCTTCACTGCTCGAGTAAATTTCTGTCTGCTGAGATTTTCCCCACAAAATTCACTGGAAAACAAACACACAATTCATAAAGTTGTGTTTTTTTTTTTTTTTTGAGGAAATTCTGTTAAAATGTCTATTTTGAGGAGTATATTTTACCCCACAGTTCAGTACAAAACTGAATTTCCTTTGCCTCTTTATAAGCTATACTAACCAGAAACTTTCTAAAAATGAACTACTGCCCTCATGAGCAATTTCACCGCCATCTATAAAAATTACAAATGCATACACCCTCTAACCAAGCAATTCTGCTTCTGAAAAATTTCTGAACAGTAATGAAATGACAAATGTACAAGATTATTCCATGAAGTATAAATAGGGGACTGGTAAGATCCTGACACATTCACATGGAGAAGCCTCTGCTGTCTACTCCATGCAGAAGGACAGCCGAAGGCTCACAACAGCCCTCCGAGGCCCACCAGATGTGCACCTCCACCTTCACTCTCTGCAGGGCTTTCTCTTCGCCTGCAGCCTCTCCCTCGGGGACCCCCATGGCTTGCTCCCCTCCTCCCTCAGGGTCACAGGTGATCACACACCTGCCTGCTCACGCACAAGCATTTCCCTACCTCCCCATTCCCACTCTTTCACCCTGAACGTGCTCCACAGTATTTATTACCTTCTGACACACACACCCCTTATTTATCATTCATCCCTCTGTTAGAATAAAGTGCCACTCGGGCAGGGATTCTGTTTTCATCACCACCGTACCCGCTCAGTGCCCAGAACAAGGCTCAAATATTTATTAAACACTCAAAAAGCAAGGTGCAAAACACCTTAGTATAGTATAATACCTTTTGTTTAAAAGAGGAGAGAGATGGTAATACAGACTTACATTGGTTTGAAATGTAAGGATGACTGGACAGAGGTAGGAAGGTCATAGTAGGAACTGAGTAGATTGTAAACCGTTACATTTGTTTTTTTTTTTAAGATTTTATTTTTAAGTTGTCTCTACACCCAACATGGGGCTCGAACTCACAACCCTGAGATCAAGAATCACATGCTCCTTCGACTGAGCCAGCCAGGCACCTCTAACTTTTTTTTTTTTTTTTAATTTTAAACCATATTTTTTTTTACAAAGTTGAAAAAAAATACCTAACTGTCACAATTTACCCAGTTCTTCCACATGAGCATACCCTCTGGATATCCTGGGTTTTCTTTCAATTATTTTTCTAAGTGGGAGAATTCTCTGTGGTCTTTTTAAAGAGTTCATGTGCTGGGGCGCCTGGGTGGCGCAGTCGGTTAAGCATCCAACTTCAGCCAGGTCACGATCTCGCGGTCCGTGAGTTCGAGCCCCGCGTCAGGCTCTGGGCTGATGGCTCAGAGCCTGGAGCCTGTTTCCAATTCTGTGTCTCCCTCTCTCTCTGCCCCTCCCCCGTTCATGCTCTGTCTCTCTCTGTCCCAAAAATAAATAAACTTTGAAAAAAAAAATTAAAAAAAAAATAAATAAATAAAGAGTTCATGTGCAATTATAAGATACTGAAGCAAACTTGCACGTTAGGCTTTTGAAATTAATCTCAGTTTTTCACAGTTAGTAATACTTAAATTCCTGTTTTTGGTTTAGTTAGAATAAGAAGACAACAGGAACACAAGAGATCTAAGATAAAGGTCGCCACCTTTAATTACTTGCCTGTTGCACAGCTTTTTGGGAAGATTTATGTCAAGTATATGAGACAAAATGTTGACCAGCTGAGTCGCATAGCACAACGCAGCGCTGATCGTGTAAGCGGGGTTACTGTGCTCCATGTCTGAGTAGAAAAACAATCATACACAAACAACTTTAATTTCAACAAAAAATACCAATGAACCTAGGTTTCATGATTTGTAATTTAATCATTATGCTGTTGATGGTTATGTTTTGATCCTTACTTACAAAAGGTTCATGGCCAGACATTAATGTTTCATCATTTATGGTTTTGTGCTGAGTAGAATGTAACCTAAGCATATGGGCCTAAGCAGGCACAACATAAATGAAATTAAAGTCTGAACTGCTTGGACCTGAGGAGGTATTATTTATCAAAGCAGTCAGTTAATGCTCAACTTAAGTGTCACCTTCTCGGAGAGGCCTCCCCTGACAGCCCTATGGAAAAGCAGTCCCTTCCTGTGTAGCCCCACCCCACAAATGGTGCTGGATCTGTCCAGGACACACACTCAGTAAGATGCCTTTGATCAGTGCTTGCTTCCTGTCCTTCTACCCACAGAAAGGCAAAGGGCTACACCCGTCTTGGTGACATCGCCTTTGTGTCACCAGCACCCAGCACTGTGCGTGACAGAAAGCACATACTCACTATACATTTGCTAAATGACTAAATGAACAATCTTCTTTCCACCAAAGAAACCTATAGGGGTTTTTAAGGGTTTTTCTATTAGGGTATTTCTATCTCCATGTAGGCCTGCTAAAAACAAGTTCTTTACAAAGAAACTCTAAAAACGGGATTCACAACACGCTAAATATACTAACTAGTGAAGTCTTTTATATAAATAGAGCAATATCATCCCCTAAAAGGTGAAATATCTAAAAAATATTTCAATCCATCCACTGACTGGATATAAAATGTGGTATATCCACATTACATACAATAGAATATTATTCAGTTATAAAAAGAATGAAATGCTAATATATGCTACAATATGGATGAACCTTGAAAACATCATGCTATGTAAAAAAATCGAGACACAAAAGGCCACACATATATGAGCCTATTTTTATGAAATATTCAAAACAGACACATTTACAGAGACAGAAAACAAAACTACAGATCTTCCTTGACTTATGATGGGGCTGTGCCTTGATACACCCATAACTTAGCCTGGCCTGCCTTACACAGGTCCAGAACACTTCCATTAGCCTACAGCTCAGCAAAATCATCTACCACAAAGCCTGTTTATAATAAAGTGTTGACTATCTCATGCTACTTAATGAACACCATACAGAAAGGGAAACACCGAACAGTCATCAGTGCGTCTACCAGCTGTTGACCCTCATGAATGCGTGGCTGCCTGGGAGCTATGGCCACCAGTGCCCAGCATCACGGGAGGGTATGTACCACATCTCGCTAGCCCAGGAAAAGATCAAAATTCAAAGCGTGGTTTCTACTGAATGTGTATGGCTTTTATACCACCATAACGTCAAAAAATCCTAAGGTGAACCACTGTAAGTTAGGATCATCTGTAGGGGTTGCCAAGGGCTGGGAAGAGAGGGGACGGGGGAGACAGTTTCATGCCCCGGAGTTTCCATTTGGGGTGATAGAAGTGCTCTAGAACTAAACAGAGGTGGTAACTGCACAATACTGTGAACGTACTAATGTCCCTGAATTTTTTACACTTTAAAACTGTTCATCTTGTTAGGTCAATTCTAGCTCAATTAAAAAAATACATACACTTATAAAAGTTTTCAGAGACTATTTTGTTTCTCACCAGGCCCCTGTGTGGTTTTCTTCTCTTCTACCCAATTGTAGTAGGCAGAGTAGTCCCCGTTGTTGGGAAGGCTAATCCAAGGCCCTGTAATGCTAATGCTGGTGTCCCCGTTGTGATCATCACAGACCCATCTCCCGGAGAGGTAAGTCGTCCTCCGGGCTTCGGCAAGCTTGCTCACAGTGCTGGAGGTCATGGCACTGTCACTCTCTGAGGACACATCTGCAGGATCTCTAAAAATCAGAACATGCATACAGATTTCAAGGGACTAGGTTTTAAAGAGCATGCAAGATACTTGCCTCGTACACAGAACGATGGAAGATGCACACACAAGGAAGCGAAGTGGGACATACAGAGGTAAGTCATTCTATCAGAGATGAAGCTCAAAGCAGCTGTGGCACAGAAGCCCCCAGCAGGGTGGCAAAGATGCCACCCAAAGCTAGGGCCTCAAGTATCAAGGCCTCAAACGATTTGGTCTCAAGACCCCTTCGCATCCTTACAATTTTTGAGGACCCCAAAGAGCTTTTGTGTACATGGGTTAAACTACAGATATTTACTTGTATTAGAAATCAGAAAAGAACTTAAATTATTAATTCATTTGGAAATAATAAGCCTATTACAAGTTAACATAGTATTTTTTGTGTGTTTTTTTTTTAATTTTTTAATATTTATTTTTTGAGAGAGATAGAGTACAAATGAGGTAGGTACAAAGAGAGAGGGAGACACAGAATCTGAAGCAGGCTCCAGGCTCTGAGCTCCCGCACAGAGCCCGATGCAGGGCTCGAACCCACAGACTGTGAGATCATGACCTGAGCCGAAGTCGGACGCTCAACCGACTGAGCCACCCAGGTGCCCCTATCATAGTCTATTTTTAAGGGAAAAAAAAAAAAATCTGTACTTCTCCAAACAAGAAAATTAGTGAAGAGTGACACTGTCCGCTGACGGGCTGAAACACACAGCACAGCACAGCGCTGTTGGTCAGGACTTAAATCTCTTGAACACCCAGATCTTGCTTATGTTCTGTCAAGTGAGAATAGGGTCCCGTGAAAAAACCAACTAGTTCCACTTGCAACTCACTCAAGTGCTTTTTCTTAAGCCAATCATGGCACTTCAGTAAGGAGCAAAAGAGCTTCTGCATACTTCCCATTTCATCATGTGGTTTATTAAAAAGATGAGTACACAAGGGTCAAGACTTAATAAAATTTATAAAAATAATAATTTCTACTGCTTCATCAAGAACATTCTTGATGGGAAACACTTTTTCAAAACTTGCGAGTACATGGTGGAATACAATGACTAGTAACACAGCTGGTTACCCCTGCCTAGACATCTGTTAAGGCACCAGAGTTTTTACCCACGATGGCTTCCGAGCCACTAGTGCAACTGTCAACACAGTGAAAAAGGAACAGTGTTACTATTATAAAAATACTTCTGACTGTACGGACGCCCTGAGAGGTCCACAGACGACCCTTTGAGAATGGCCGGCCTGAAGAGAAGAACAGAATGACAGATCCAAGCAGCCCCAGATGCACCATGGTGGAAGAACACAGTGTGTCTGGGGAGGGGAGATGATCAGTGTGGTTGTGTGTAGGATTCACGAGGGAAGTGCCAGGAGATGGTGCTGGAAAAGTAGGTGGGAAACTGGCAGACTGGGAAGAGTCTTCCGTACTGCTCTAAGTTTAGGTTCTGTTCTCTTAGCCAGTGGCTCTCAATCCTTTCTCCTTCTGCCACAGCGCACCTGCAAAGTAACTCCTCCTGGCTGGCACGGGGAAGACTGGGTGTGAGGGCACCACTGCCAGTTCTAAGCTGTACCTCTACTTCCTTCTTCCACTTAAGGAAGTTTGAGAAATGTGAATGAACAAGATATCTTATTATAGGAATAATTTCAAAACTATCCGCCTAAAAAAAGTCATAGCATATAATAATACACACTATTACACAAGACTTAAGCAGCACAGGTACAGAGGAGAAAGTTTTTCTCCATGTTTTCTCTTTTGCAACTTTGTATGCCATTGTCCGTCTTCTTAGTCTCCTAAAATCTGACAGTGTCTTAAGACAGTGTCTCTGTTGGGGCGCCTGGGTGGCTCAGTCGGTTAAGCATCCAACTTTGGCTCAGGTCATGATCTCACAGTTCGTGGGTTCGAACCTCGTGTCAGTCTCTGTGCTGACAGCTCAGAGCCTGGAGCCTGCTTCGATTCTGTGTCTGCCCCTCGCCTGCTCACACTCTGTCTCTCTCTCTCTCAAAAATAAACAAACATAAAAAAAAAAAAAAAAAGACAGTGTCTCTGTTTACTGTAATGTGTTTTAACAATGATATCTTCGCCTACCAGAATCTAATTTTTTTATTTTATTTTTGAGAGAGAGACAGAGTGTGAGTGGGGGAGAGGCAGAGAGAGGGAGACACAGAATCTGAATCCAGGCTGAGCTGTCAGCATAGACCCTGATGAGGGGCTCGAACCCACAAACCATGAGATCATGACCTGAGCCAAAGTCAGACACTCAACTGACTGAGCCACCCAGTCACCCCTATCAGAATCTAATTTAGCATCGGGACACCTGGCTGGCTCAGTCGGAAGAGCATAGGACTCTTGATCCTGGGGTTGTGAGTTTGAGACCCATGCTGGGCATAGAGATTACTAAAAAAATAAACTTAAAAAAAAAAAAAAAAAAAAAAAAATAGAATAAAATTTTTTTTTTTTCTTCTTTTTTCTCCAAAAAACTGATCACCTGTTTTTATTTGTTTTTTTAATGTTTGAGAGAGCAAGTGAGCAAGTGAGCCCACACATGCGTGTTGGGGTGGGGGGAGGGAGGCAGAGAGAGAGGGAGACAGATAATTCAACTCAAACTCACAAAGGTGACATCATGACCTGAGCCGAAGTCAGACACTTAACTGAGCCACCCAAGCACCCCTGCCACTGTGCTCGAGGTTTCTAGACAACCCAAGTTCTAGACCCAAAAGGCTACCTTCGAGTCTATTTCTGAACTTTCTGTTCTGCTCTATTTTGAATCTGCCTTTTTTTTTCATATTTAACAAGTATTACTAATGAAAAATTACGTGCTAAGAGTCAGAGAGCAGGTTTTCAAGTCAGAAGCAACAACCAGACCTTTAGGCTTTTAGGAAGTTAACTCTGCAAGAGCTAAAAGGATATAGTAAAGTAGAGCAAAAAATAGTAATAATCCTAACTAGCAACAGTCCACGGACGGTCCAGGGAAGGGTGCTGGGAAGTGAGGGCAACTGAAAGGGAGAGGAAAATCCTCAACTTGAAGAGCCTGATGGTTAGTGAGAAAGCAAATGAGAAATGGTTAGTGAGAAAGCAAAATGCCACTCCTCAGTGGCAGTTTTCAAACCTCATCATCATCTGGGGAAGGTTAAAAATAAATAAATAAAAGTAATGGGAGATGGACTGGGAGGCTGAAGTTGTATCCTCTGGAACCTGTATTTTTCAAACATTCCTGGGTGACTCTAATGAACATCCAGGTGGGGAACTACCGTCTTGTCCATCCAGTGATTCCAGAGGGTCTCCGTGCACTACAGCCTAAGACTAAACTTAGCATCCAATGCTTGACCGTGGTGGCTAGTTACCAGGAAAAGGCTCGGATCAGTCAACAAGCAAGCGCCCCACTTTTTTGAGGGCCACCGCCCTTCACCTTGGCTGCCTCCCCAATTTCGTGCAGTGTGTACTGTTTGCTGAAGCAGATAAGACTTCAGTTTCATTACCAGGAAAGCCAATGACCCTAGAATGAACCCAATAAATGAGGTGCTGACATATTTGAAAAATACTTGATCTTTGGAACCTGATCTATTCCTAGAGTCAAAAGACTCACCGTACCTCACACTAGTCTTTACTTCCTCGATTGGAAAAATGACAGAGGTGAGCTCTAATATATGAGATCGCCGAAGATTTGCCAGACGCTCATAATGACTCCTTAAGTCGATGGTTTTTTTTTCTACCAGGTCACCCAGTTTGCGGTTGTGCCTCTGAATCTTCTCCTTTTTCTCTTGATGCCGCTGTGCTCGAGTATAAAGCTTCTGATTCTTTTCCTTGGTTTTAAGAAGGCCTTCGGAATCTAAAATAAATAAATCACATGCAACAATTATCACTACAAATAGTTCCTGGGCAGTGCAGAACCCACCACACAAGCCTAATAAGCGTCTTCCTGCAGTTTAACTGAAAGCAAAAGCTCATTCAGGTTAACTAGATAAAGCTAAATGGAAACTGAGAGTTCAGCTTAAGTAGATTTTACACATAAATCAATGTGGACCACCACTAAAAGGACTCTGGGTCTCCATCTGTAGTCATCATTTGCAAGAACCACTCAACAGCTATCAAGTTTAAGCTCAGACCAGGCAGTACCTGACTTATGGTAAGCACTGAAGAATAACCATGTTGGGCAGAAAAGGTATCTAGTGCAAGTTTAAAAAACTTATTGGCCATCTGATTTTCCTGTCCAGCAAGCAGCTATTCTATGCCATATCTGAAGCTCCACAGAGACAACAAAAGCCCAGCAACACAACCAAGAAAGGAGACAGATGCTCATCCTGTCTGATGTGTGTCCTTTTCACGGAGCTCCTTCAGGTTTGGGATTAAGACCTGCTAGAGTGTTAGGTTGTGGCTAAACTTCTCTAAAGTGGCAAAAACAAGTTGTAAAATCTCAGAAAGACGCCTAGAAACAATGTAGGAGGTCAGACAAGTTCAAAATCAAGCTCATCATTTTCCCACAAAAGCCTCATCTTGATACCTAGGTTCTCTACTTAATGATTACACTTGACCCGCCCACTGCCCAAGTCAGTCCCCTGCTGGTCAATTCCATGAGCTGATCACTCCATGACAGTTCCTTAGATCTAGGGCTTTCTTTTCATTCCCACTGTTACAGTCTTATTAACTCTCACCCAAACCCCATCTCCAGCTTGGCTCCACTCCATGCTGTCACTCGCTCAGTCTTCTTCAACCGTAACCAGTGCCTGGCAGGTCTCCACTGCCAAACACAGACCGACCTCCCTGGACTTGAGGCCACCCCCACACCGGCACATACCCCACTGTTCCCTTCTGCACACCCTTCATTCAAGCCTCATTGAATTACTAGACACTCCAGACCTTTTCCACAAAGTGACACTATTTTTTAATTAGAGACAGAGAGAGAGAGAGAGAGAGAGAGAGAGAGAGAGAGGGAGGGAGAGAGGGATAGAAAGAGAGATTGCAAACAGGGGAGATGGGCAGAGGGTGAGAGAGAGACAGAGAGACAGGGAAACAGAGACAGAGAGAGAGAGAGAGAGAGAGAGAGAGAGAGAGAGAGAGAGAGAGAATCCCAAACAGGCTCCACACTCAGTGCAGAGCCTGACACCGGGCTCAATCCTACAACCGTGGGGTCATGATCTGAGCCAAAATCAAGACTTGGATGCTCAACCAACTGAGCCACCCAGGCTCTCCAAAGTAGAACTATTTAAATGCACACATGTATGGATACAGAACCAGTCATCATTCCCTTTATGAGGTCTCACTCCTATCCTGTTCAGATCAATGTCTCTCTAGGAATGCTATTAGCTTCTATTCCTCAAATGTCCAAATTTTTCTCATTCATTGAGGCCCCCCTCCATAAATGCTCCACAGACCTCTTGCTCTTCAGAGGCCTATGGCACTGTGGGTACGTCACCTATGGCACACGGCTTAGTTCCTTATACCAGATCCAAACAAAGCTTTGCTGTTCTCTGACTAAAATATAAGCATCCAATACGTGTTTGACACGTCCTCTGACTGAGGCCCACTGAACCTAGGTATTTCACTGTAGCCATAAAGTTTCTTGCAGTTTTACTTCTCCTTAGGTGCACATTCTCTTTACCATTCTTGCTCAATGTGGATGTTCTAATGTTTAAGTCTTTCTGGTTCCATCACACTAATTTTCCAGCAAGCTCATTCATTTTCATGATCTCTACTGAGTTCTTTGCCAAGTGCTCAACTGAATGTTTGGCCATATGGTGGTCAGACGTTTTAAAAACAGTTTAGAACTTAATACCAAGATCCTCCACAGATGGCAGGAAATCATCAGTCACCTAATCTGCACTAGTGCAGACTCAGCACTCAAGAGTTTCACTTGTCCTTCTCTCCCTGCCATCTCCCCTAAACATAAAAGCACTTCGATGCTCTTTCTGTCATCTACTCTTGGTTGTTTGGATAAGGAAGTCTGTAGCACAGATCAACTCAACCTTCATTCAAGGTTCATATATATATGTATATATATATATAATGTCTGTATTACTCTATATCATGACACATAAAATCAAAAGATTCCGGAGAAATATTCATCAGGCTCTACAGTTTAGAACATATAACCTTTTCTGAATATTTGTGGTATTTCAACAAAGTTAAAAAAAATATACTATCTACTGGGTAGCAAGCTCTTAATCTGTGAACTTGAGACCATGCATAGTTTCTGGAATCCATTAACTTCCTTAAAATTGTTTGCAAAATTTTCTGAGTCTCATCTGTGGTTCCCAACACTGGTAGGTTCAGCAGTACCACCCAGAGCAGGGCTACTCAAGAGTCGGCCTATGGATCTGGGCCCATCAGTAAACTTCTACCAGCCAGACAAGAGAAGTACAGAAATACAGAGTTAAGTTTAGCCTACAGATACTGCCTATCTCACGTGGCAATATGCCAGTGCCATGATATCCAAGTGTCCAAGTACTGGTGTCAGTTTATGACAGATTAGACACCACAGAGGAAAAAACTGGTCTTTCACTCCAGACAGTTTGTGAACCACTGATGCAGTCCCCACACATGAGATTTCAATTTCTCACGCTCAGGGTGGGCCCTAGGACTCTCTCTCGACCTCACAAGGGTCACCAGGTGACTCCGATGGCTTGCTAGGGAGAGAACGCACTGTTACAGGGTCCACTGCTTTTATTTAATGTTTTCCTTTTTAAAGCCCTTACTCCGACATGTGATGGAAAAATGTGACAGGCACACGCGGAAAAGACATGATCACAGTTAAAAGCGAAGACAGTCTAACCAGAAAGATTTGTTGCCTGTCAGCCCATGTTGGAAGTTCTGAGTGTGACGTGCCACAGGGCTGAAAAGAATGGTAACTGGTATTCCTCTCCACCCTCTTCACCCTCTCTTTCAACAGAATCCACACCAACCTCCTCATAATCCTTCTCGAGGGCCTCAGAAAACTCTCCTTCCTCCATGCCCTCACCCCTATACCAGTGAACAAAGGCACGCTGTGCCTACACCAGGCCAAACTCATGGTCCAGGTGAGCCCAGGCCTCCTGTTGCTCAGCGTACGCACAGCTTGCTGTACTGTGGCCATGTCTCCATCAGGTACCACAGTAGGAGGCAGGCCCACTGCGTTTAGTACCAAATCTTCTCTGTGGCGATTTTGTTTTGGGGAGTTAGGAATCTGTTAAAATCAGCTGATCAAAGTCTTAAACTCGCTCATTAGGGAAACGCACAAACTCAGTAACTCCAGAAATTTAAGGGGGCTCACAGATGCCTGGTGGCAAACCCCTGGTGTGAGCATCACGGAAGGCTGTGGAAAGAGGATGAACCAATGTTAAGTCACGAGTCTCTACGCTGCTCCTGAACCAGGGCCTCTGGAGATGCATGTGGAGTTCAGTGGGTCACCGGCTGTCCACATGCTCAGCACCTCTTCACCAAGCTGCCTGCCATTCTAGCCTAGTAACCCTGTGAAACGCCACAGGAGCACCTTAGTAGGACATTTTCAAAGGAAGCTTTTACTCTTTTACATACCACTATAAAATACTTGCTTCTGAACGCAACGAGCAGACAAGAAAGGGATTCATGAGGTATGATGGTGACTCACTCTGAACTTTAAACACTGATTTTCAAAAATACATGTAATGTTTCTAAGGATACAAGATTTCTAAGAGGGCTCTCCTAAATTTTGACAACCATCTATAATAAAGTATGATATATGCAAATATAATGTAAGATTAATACAGATTAAAATGTGTATGAGACTCACTCATGGAGAAAAGCCAATATTCTGTGCTTCTGGAATGAACTAATAATTATAATGGAGTACCAAGCTTCCTGTTAGCAAAGGCAAATGTAAAATACATATTCCTTAATTTTTTTAACTGAGAGAAGTAGTATATTCAAAGTAGTTTTATACATACATATACATGTATATATATAATATCTCTTTGAAAAAAAATATAAATATATTTATTTATTTAAAATCCTTACAGAAATGTTTTACAAGAGGAGGAAGGCAAGCAGGAAACCTTTCCAGGTTGCTATTGCCTCCCCCCCTCCTCCTCTCTTTCTCTAGCTTATTAATCCAACAAAATTCCACACTGGCGCTTTATTAGGTCTAGAAGAAGAGGGGCAAATTACTTACTTATCTTCATTTCTTCATTTCCTTTACATATTGTTTGTTTTAGCTGTTCAATCCTCATCTTGCAGGACATTATTTTCCATCTCTTAAAAAAATATATATACAATAAATATCACAAATGTTGGTCTCTTATGATGAATATGATTATCTACCCAGGATCATTATTATTTTGAAGCATATCTTAGAAAACACAATGAAGAAAAGACCAATATAATTATACTTATTATAACTTTTGTAACTAACAATGGTGGATTACAAAACAGAAAAAAATGTCATTCTGTAGGAAATTAAGACAAAGAAATTCACAGAGTTTTTTTTTTATTTAAATCCAAGTTAGTTAACATATAGTGTAATAATGATTTCAGGAATAGAATTTAGTGATTCATCACTTACATATGACACCCAGTGCTCATCCCAACTGCCCTCCTTAATGCTCATTGCCCATTTAGTAGTCCATGCCCCACCCCACCCCAAGACCCCACCAGCAAACCTCAGTTTGTTCTCTGTATTTAAGAGTCTCTTATGGTTTGCCTCCCTCTCTCACATAGTTCTTTTATGTGTTAATGAGGACAGAGAAAAATGGTGAAGGATATTCTCAGGATATTCTCTTAACCTGCTCAGTCCAATATATAGCTAGTGATCCCATGTGGCTATTTAAAAGTAATTTGGAATTACATAAAATAAAATTCAGTTCCTACTCAACACCACCCACATGTCAAATGTTCAACACCACATGTGGCTACCATATTGGTGAGTATAGATACAGACAGACCACAGAAGATTCCACTACTACACTGCTTGAAACTCTTTATGCTATTCCCTGAGGAGATCATTAACATCACTGTATTATCTCACTAATACAGTAAGCAACTATTACTTGCAAAATAATAAAAAACTCAATAAAAACAGAAGTTTTTTTTCCCCTAAGGTGAATAAAAGATCAGTAAAAATGCAACCTGCTAGTCAAAAAAAATATGATTATCTGTTCTGTAAACGTGGATAATTCAAAGCTTAAAACAGCATTCAAATGTTTATGGTGTTTAACACTGGTCTTAATCCTGATGGTATAAGGGGTAGAGCAGACTGCAGAGATAGTCCAGCTGGCGAAGTGCTAACCTCTCTGCTGGACAGACATTTGAAAACAGATTCATGGGGACTGATGGATGGATTGAGAGATGAAATAGCAATGAGATGTCTTCACTTTTATAGGGTATTAGTCTTTAAGAACCAGTACTGAAGTTTTTGATAGAAAAACTAGAAAACAGTACAGGGAATTTAGAAACATGGAAATGGGATTCTTTATAAATAGCCTTTAACGATCTTTTTCTATACGACATACTTTGTTTCTATAACAGAGCATAAGAATTCACTTATATCACATATATTCTTCAAGTATTATTGAAAAATTATGAGTGGTGCTTATTGTGAAAAAAAGTAAACATCACAGAAGAGAAAAAATAAAATGATCGTTAGCTTGACTCCTTCCCATTCTTCAAGGGTAATCTCAAAGTTTAATACCTATCTTTTCAGATATTTTTAGAGTATATTTGTATTTAAAACACATATACACAGATGGAATCATACTTTACTCTAGCCTTTTTGTTTGCTCTTTCATTAAAGAATTTATCCTGGACATCATTCCGTATCAACACATATGGATTGATCACATTCTTTTTTAACAACTACATGGTATCCATTATTTATCTTATCCTGTCTGATGAGCATTTAAGTTATTTATGGATTACTACCCATGCAGTAGTCAATCAGCTTCTCTATCCATTAATCCCTGTATTCACGCATTTGTTTTAGGAGGAAAATTGCTAAATACCACATGTGTAATAAAAAACAAAAAACAAAAAACAAAAACAAAACCCAAACCACCAACTTATCCTCCAAACAAATATGTCAATGTATATATTCTCACCAACACTGAGTAAAAGTGTTATTAATCAAACTCCCTATTTTCATATGTTGTACTCATTTTGTCCCAGTTTATGTTCATTTTGCTCAGGGTCTCCAACACACAGAACTTTTAAACTTTTATGTAGTCTGTCAAAATGTTTTCCTTTATGGCTTATAAAGGCCTGCTTATCTGCAGAGTACATGAATACTCTCCCATATTTTCTTTTAATATTTTTAGGAGTTTACTTTTCACATTTAATCAGCAATCCATGTAGGGAGTGTATATTTACAATGAGTAAGTTTTTTTCAAAAAGGACAGTTTATGGTTCTTGTATTCCTATGTCAATACCAGACTTGATACTTATCCTTTATAATGGCTCTAAAATTAACTGCCAATATTCGGTGTTTGGTATCTAGATAAAATATGTGAGGGCCCACACTACAAATATATTCAAATAGAAGACTGCCAAAAAATGACCAAAATAAATTTAAATTCAAAATGAATTTTTAAGCACTACCAACCTAAAAGCATGTAACCTCACATAGAAAGAGTATTCTTTAAATACTTCTTACAGCTTACCAACTGATCTGTTATCCATTTTCCTTCCATAGCTTTTAACACCCTGTACAGAGAAAAGACAATAATAAATTTTGTAAAGTTCCAAAATGTAAAATCAATGTGTTTTTAAAGTAACTTCTTCAAAATGGCTGGAAATACCAAAGTGGAACTTGGGCATTTAAAAATGTTTTCCAAATTCCCCATTCTCTAATTTTTTTCGTCACCTCCTTCTTTCTGTGCTTTAAAAAAAAAAAAATTTTTTTAAGTTTATTTATTTTGAGAGAGACAGAGAGAGTACAACTGGGGGAGGGGCAGAGAAAGAGGGAGAATCTCAAGCAGGCTCCAAGCTGTTAGCGCAGAGCCCATGTGGGGCTTGAACTCATGAAACTGTAAGATCATAACTGGAGCTGAAATCAAGAGTTCGGATACTTAACTGACTGAGCCACCCAGGTGCCTCACTTTTCACACTTTTAATACTGCCCAGAACGTTTCTGTAAACATTCATAGTAAATTTCCATAACAACCAGAGCCTCTGTCCTCAGTCATAATCAATCATTTCCATCAGTCATAATTATTAATAACAGTTGCAAGAGTATTCATGATATAAAATGTGGATGTTCAGTTTCTAAAGAAACGGCACAACCTGACATCTGTACAAATCTGTTCTGTGGGGTGAAAGGTTCTATGGAAGAAACAGAAGTTCCTGTGATTAAGTTAGGGAAATGACTTAAATAAATCTAAGCAGGTTTCTGTCAGGTGGGGAGTCTCAGAAGATTTAAATGCTTACAAATGTGTTCATCAGACCTGGGGTGCATCTGGAGGAAAGCGACTGAGTCAGTTTGGGACAGAAGATTCTACAAGACGATTCTCAAATCCAGAGAGTAGGAGATTCATCAGGGGTGCATGTTAATAACTCAGATTCCAGCGCCTTCCCCCACTCCACACCCAGTGAGTCAGAGTATCTGAGGATAGGATTCCAAGAATCTGCATTTTTAAGGCAGTAACATTAGCTAATGCATGTAGATGATATGCAGATCACAATTTGCAAAAACGCTGATCCTGAAGAAGAAAGATAAATGGAAGGGGTGATGCCCTATAGGACACTTATTTGCCTACTGTTCTGGACCCATTTGCCCCACATCAATTATTAGGGCCAGGGATTTGATTCATCCGTCTAGTCACTGAGTGCCTACTGTGTACCAGGCACTGGGTATGATCCCACTATTTTCTAGGAACTTGATAATCTCTCCTATTTTGCTTCTTCCACTTGCACTGCTCTTCCATACTTTGAAATTGTATCCTTACTTCAGCAAGTTAGCAATCCATATATCTGCATACCACAGCACTGAATTAAACCACAGGGTGACAAGAGAACCTCCACACATGGAAAAACAAAAGAGAAACTCACTCTTTTTGAAATTCTTCTTGCTTGCTCTTAAGTTGGTTTAACCTTTCTTTCTTGTCTATAAACCTGTAAGAAAAAAATGTATGGTCTTAAATGTTCATTCTTTAAATTTTTATTTTATTTTTTATTTTAGAGACAGCTCACGCACAGGGGAGGGAGGAGGGGGGGAGAGAGAGTGAGAGAGAGAGAGAGAGAGAGAGAGAGAGAGAGAGAGAGAATGAGAATCCAGAGTAGGCTCCAAGTTCAGTGCAGAGATGGACACAGGGCTCGGTCTCATGACCCTGGGGATCATGACCTGAGCTGAAATCAAGAGTTGGATGTTCAACCAAGTGAGCCACCAAGGCACCCCTTAAATATTCATTCTTTTCAGTTCAGTGAGATTTTGCAAACCCCTGAGAGCCAATCATTTCTGCAGAGTCATTTGGAGATGTCACAGTCCTGAAAGTAAGTACACATCTTCTCAGTCGGGTGCATACACAGCTGCTTATGCCATTTGCTCATTTCCAAACTAAGTTCAAATTCTCAGCTTTAAAATTCTTTTATGGGAAGGGCACCTGAGTGGCTCAGTCAGTTAAGCATCCAACTTGGGCTCAGGTCATGATTTCGAGGTTCTTGAGTTCGAGCCCCATATTGGGCTTGGGATTCTCTCTCTCTCTCTGCCCCTCTCCCACTTGTGCATGCAAAATAAATGTCAACCTTAAAAATAAAGATAAATAGAGGTGCCTGGGTGGCTCAGTTGGTTAAGCGTCTGACTTTGGCTCAGGTCATGATCTCATGGTTGGTGGGTTTGAGCCCTACATCGGGCTCTGTGCTGACAGCTTCAGATTCTATGTCTCCCTCTGCTCCTCCCCCACTTGTGCTCTCTCAAAAGATAAATGTTAAAAAAAAATTTTTTTTAATAAAGATAAATAAAATTCTTTCATGGGTTTAGGGGTGCCTGTCTGGCTTAGTCAGTAAAATTCTTTCACGGGTTTATAAAATATGTCTAGAAGCCCCACCCCAAAGGTTAAATTATCTTCTAAAACAGGCACATCAGAGCTCTACAGTGAATGTGAATTCAAGGAAACTAAGGCTTCTAATATAAACATGATTTTAATTATTTAGCTTAATTCAATCCTGCTCTCACCTATAAATTGGTTCCTTATAATTTTTAAAGTGTAACGTTTTTTCCTTACTAATTTTATTGCCAGTCATTATGGGCTAACAAGTTACTTAGAATAAGTTATCAAAAGGAAGGGATATCACACTGCAGTTCATTTTCTCTGTCAGTCTTCCACCCTTATCCTTATCATTTTCTTCCTGCTCCCTTATTTGGAGTTTAGCTTGCTCCCCCTCTTTTTTCTTTTCTTTTCTTTGCAGTTTAAGTTAGAAACTTAGATCAATTTAAATCAATTTTAAGCCTCTCTTTTTAATATGACCATATAAAGTCATATTTAGTTAAACCCCCAAAGTTAAAGTATTTTTTAAAGTTTTTAAATTTACTTATTTTGAGAGGGGGAGGGAGGGAAGGAAAGGGAGGGAGAGGAAGAGAGAGAGAGGGGGAGGGGGAGGGGGAGAAAATGAATCCCAGGCAGGCTCTGCCTGTCAGCATGGAGCCCAATGTGGGTCTCGAACTCATGAACCATGATATCATGCATGACCTGAGCTGAAACCAAGAGTTGGATGCTTAACCAACTGAATCACCCAGGCACCCTAACCCCCAAATTATTGATAGGGTATATTTTCATCATCATTTAGTTTGGAATTGCTAATTTTCCATAAATTCCCTCCTTGACCTGTAAGTTATTTAGAAGTATATTGCTTAATTTCCAGATATGTGAGCTTTTCTAGGTAACTTATTATTGTTTTCTGTTTTTTTGATGTGGTCACAGAATATACTCTATAAGATTTCAATCTTTTGATTTGAGAGGGTCTTATGGCCTTGTATCTGGTATGCCCTGGTGTAAAGTTCCCTGTGCACCTGAAAGAATATGTATCTATAGCTGTTGGATACAGTGTTCTATAAAGGTCAACCAGCTGAAGGTGACTAACAGTGTCATTCAGATCTTCTAGATCTGTGCTATTCACTAAGGTAGTCACCAGTCACATGTGCTACAGAATACCTAAAATGTGCCTTGCTGCATTATAAGGATCTGGGTTAAAAAAAAAAAAAATCATAGGACTAACATCACACAACCGATTTTTACACAAGTTAACAGTGGCTATTTTCAAAGAAAAAAAAAAAACAAAACAATGATAATGCTATATGCTCTAGTAAGTAACATAGTATGGAGTCCAAGATTAGGCTTTTGGCTGTCTCCCAAATTCCTAGCCTAAATGAAAACAACAGAATAGTAACAGCCCCAGAAATCTCTTTCCTTAAAATCATCCAGGTTAAAAGGAGTCTGAAATATCATTTCTACTTCAAAATGGAAGGGATTGATACACAAATGGATAAAGACAATGTGGTAAATATACGTGATGAAGTATTATTCCCCTGTAAAAAAAAGAGTAAGACCTTGCCATTTGGGACAACATGGATGGACCTAGAGGGAATTATGCTAAGTGAAAAAAGTCAGACACAGAAAGACAAATACCGTATGATTTCACTTATATGGAGAATCTAGAAAACAAAACAGACAAGAAAATACTTAAATACTGATTACTAACTGGTGGTTGCCATAGGGGAAGTGGGTCGGGGTGGAGGGGCAAAATAAAGGGGATTAAGAGGGACAAACTTCCCATTATGAAATAAATAAGTCATGGAGATGAAAAGTACCTAGTCAATAATGTAATAACATTGTATGGTGTGACAGATGGTGACTACACTTACAGCGATGAGCACTGAGTAATGAATAGAAGTGTCAAATCAGTATGTTGTACACCTGAAACTAATATAACATTGCATGTTAATTATACTTCAATTTTAAAAAGAGAAAAAAGAAGGGATAAAAAATTCTAATTATGACCCTACCATTTAATAGTCACTGAAAATGTAAAATATATGTTAAGAGAGCAAATCAAGTAATTTTATACATTTGTATGACTAAATTAAAATCAAAAAAATTCAGTTCTTCAGTTGTACTAACCATATTTCAATAGCCACATACAGCTGCTGGCTAGCCTACTTGACGGGAAAGATACAAAACATCATCGCAGAAAGTTGTGCCAAGAGCACTGCAATGGTGAGTAAGGTAGTAGTTACTACTAGACTTGAAACAGTACTAGAACACTCCAAAACCAGTATGGAATCTAGACAAACCCATAGATTCACCAGTTAATTTATCAGGCATTTAGTCTGTGTCTGCAACTTACAGCAAAGCATCTTCCAGAATATTAAGAAATCTAATTACATAGATTACTGTGTATTCTTGGACACATTATTGACATATGCTTCCATTTCCATGTATCAAAAATGAGAAACTAATGGTATTTACTTCTACCTCACTGAGGCTACGTGGTGATTTCATGTCCTAATAACCTGAAGATGACAAATTTACAAGACTCATCAGACCAGGCAAACAAATGACTGACATGGAGGATGAAATCTTGCTTTTAGAGACTATAAAAGTTCTTCTTTCAGATCTGTTGTAAAAATGCCACTTGGCACTAAAACAAATTGGGAAGACAAACAACCGTGCCCAGCCTTATACTGAGCAGGTTTTCTCTTGGGCTTTGTTAAAAAACAAACTTAAAATATAAATATGCAGTTGCCAGCAGGAATAATAAACAAAAGATAACAACAATTCCTACCATATCAAACACTTCTGAGTCATATTATTCTTCAGGAAGGAAATTAAAAATAGGTGGTGTTAACGAAGCTAAACAGTGGAGTGGATGAGATCAAGGAATGTGGCCAGGTCAGCATTTCAACTGCTCATCTGCACACTCATCCGTTCTCTGCATTCTCCATCACACCATGATGGAAAGATAAAAAAAATCCACTCCACAATTTTGTGCTCTCTCAATCTGGTTTCCAAGAGGTAGAAAGATTCATACAATCATCACACTCAACTAGATTTAAGGATACGTGTTTTACCAAAGAAGGGGGGAAGAAGGAAATGTTTTATGTACTGCCTTTCAAGGAGGGCTGATCACGTAAAATATCTCGTCTTTTTCCAGGTCAGAACATACACACTAATTTCAATCTTTAACAAACACACAGAATCTCACTGAGTGGACATCCTATAGTTTATTTATATGAACTCCTACTGATGAACATGGGCATCATTTCTGAATTTTCACTCTTTATCAGTAATGTTATAAGTGAATATCCTAGTGCACAAATCTTTAAAAGCTTTTATTTCTCAGAAATTCCTATAAATAAAATAAACTGCTGGGTCAAATACTTACATGCTAAATTCTGGCAGTTGGCTTTAAATTTCCTCACAATCATTTCATATAATTTACAACCCCACCAACAGGGAGTAAAGACTGCACATTTCTTTTCAGTCTTTACTAAATTAATCGGCCTCCTACCCCTTCCCCCAAAGATAGTTCATAATTCATGTATTTGTCTTTCTTTATTTCACTATTAGAAATGTTGGAATGCCTTTTCCTTATTGACTACTTACTTCTCTTTTATTGTTCCCCTAGGTCTTTTGTTCATTTTTCTAATAGCTTTTTTAAGGGCTATTAGGGAAATTAGCCATTTTTCTTTCCAACATCATGACATTATTTTTTCTCAATTTGCTTTCTGCCTACTTATGTTTCTGCTTTAGAGAACTTTCCAAACTTTTACACAGATACATTTAGCAATTATTTTGATGTCGAATGACTCTAGTTTTGTGTTGTTTTCTGAAAGGAGTCTGCCAGTGAACCTGTACCAAGCACCAGGGCTTTTACAACACTATTTGTTATATTTTCTCTCCCAATTTAAAAATACCTTGTATATTATTTACCAAATTCCTCCAAAACTTAAGAGTTGTTTTTTTCCTTAAAAAAGCACTTCCTTAAATGGACTTCGTTTCCTAAATTCTTCCATACTTTTGCAACAATGATCTTTTTCCCCCATTAACAAAGTACTCCTTTAAACTGACTTTCAAACAGTCCCCCTGCAACAGAGAGTGATGAGAATTAGGAGCCAG